TTGAGGGTTTGGTATGGTGACGAGCTGTTCCGATCCAGCCGAGTCATCGGAGGTGTAACCCGTGTTCTCGGTTTCTGTGGTGAGGGCTGAGGCTTGTTCTGGTTGATCCGTGGCGACTTCGTACTGGGATGAGCTTGTCTCCGTCGATGGTGGAGGAGCAGGCTGACCCGACGTTGAGGGTTGGAGCAGCTCTTGGGGCTGTTGATCCACTTGCGGGTCCGTCGCGGACCGCGTGTTGTAGCCGTGGTGAGCTGTTGGAGCCGGCGAATGTTCCACTGGCATGATGAACGATGTTGGCACGGTTTTCGAACCACAAATCTCCACCAACTGTAATGCTGACGTATTTCAATCAGCACACAGATTTTGGTAGGAGCCACTCGTGTCGTTTATTCTCGGAGCGAAGCGTCGGGGCGTAGGGAGAACCGCCGTGCTCTAGCGCGCGAGTAGATGTGTCCTCTCCGGGCACATGCTCGTCTTCTTCTAGAGACCTGCTGCCCTCTCCCCCGCGCGAGAAGCGCGCGGGTTTTCGGAAACAGAGTCGGGGCTATCCGTCAGATCTTTAATTGGAAACAGCGCTTGCGATCCTGTAGCCAATTTGGTTGGGTCCTACGTAACGAGAATAAATCCCCCCGGACATTTCCGGTTCTCTGTGTGGGAACCTCGGAGTCTCTCTTCCTAGCTATCCTCCAGCTAGCAACATTGTTTCTTTCAGATCAAAGTCTAATGCCGGTCTCACAATATGTACGGTCGAATAGGTTAATTAGAATATTTATTCGGTCAGATAGAATAGCTTCGGGGGTATAGTCTTTGAACTTGTACCACGAATTAGGTAGCGTGTTGGAGGTGATCCAGACTTGGTTCGAGACGAATTCTTCGTATCCTCCTTTTGTTTCCACTTTGTATGGGTAACGGTCACAGATTTTCAGCAGTTCGTCGTATTTTAGCCAACCGTGCAAATCGTCTATGATGACGGCTGGTTCCCGACTATATGCATGGCACCAGTTTGAACGGTTCTTGTAGTAGGCTGGTTGGAGGGAGAGTTTGGAGGCGGCGGACGATTTGCCGGATCTAGGAGGTCCGCGAAGGAAGAAAACGTCAGTCCGAGTTGTTCTGGGTAGGGCAGGATTAATCTGCGCTTGCAGGGCCTGGAGCCCTCGCCAGTATTTGATGTAGACCGTGGGATAGTTAGCAGCGATTTCCCTGAGCGGGGTGGTGGAGGAGGCGACGATGGCAGCAGCTCGTTCGAGTTCACTTCTCCGACCCTGCTGAGGACGTTCTCCATATTCGAATACAGTATTCCGGCCACTTTTACTAATGTAGGCGTAATTTTGTTCAGGAGAGCCTCTCGCGTGTTGAAAATGTGCTCGACGGTCGACCTGGTCCGCAGATGCCACTGCCTGTCGGAGAACCGCGTCGTCGATTTGGGTCTGTAGGTCTGAGATCTTCGCGTCGACCTGACTTGCTTCGGAGGTAGTACTGGTGAGAAGTCACGAATTCCAGTAAGAATTCTTCGCACGTGACCTCCTCGGGGACGAGGAAATGCTTAAGGAGGCAGGCAAGCATTTCCCTTCGAGCGATGTTGCGCGCCAAGCGTTCCACAGGCTATCCGCTCCCTTTCGAGCTTCCTGAATTGATTCCTCATGCCCGTAGACCATCGTCAATGGGACGAGCGGCGGGGACGCAACTGCCTGCAGCGAAGCCAGTACCTTCAGCCGAGTCGTTCCTTTTATCTCGAGTTGTCGATACGTCGTTGTCCCGCTGTCCTTGTCCACGAGCTTTCTTATGATCGTTCCGACGAGGTGATAAGCTGACTCGGCCGATACCTCATGTGATCGTCGCCAGCTCGCGAAACCGAACAGCGGGTTGCTGAACTCGATATCGGAGTTGTGAATTGTCAACGTCAGCGCTGCCGCGGACTCCATGCTTATCGACGGATTCTCTCGGGCCAGTTCTCTCGCCACGAGTTCCGCGAGTGCTGGGCGCTTGGGGGGATGTCGTTTCGTTATCCCTCTCGAGTGATTAGTGTCCGAGCTCTGGTGCGCGCTAGTTTTTGTGTTTATGCCTTCCGTTGTCTCCTGCCCCATCTTCGGAGAATTGTGAATGTCGTTCTTTGACGAGGTGGGGTGGAGTCGCACCTATTTTCAGCGGGTGTCCTGGAGCTATGGCTCCATAGAGTTTTTCTGCAAGTAGTAGGCAATCCTGATCCAACTTCTCTGCTTTCGGGAAATCTTCTGATTGTGTTTCCACATCGTTTCCTCTGATTTTCTGTAGCTTCTCTCGATACTCGATTAGTTTGACATATTTCGATGCACATTCGTTTTCATCTTCGAAGAATCCTTTCTCTTTAGTTCTGTCGCTTATTTCCGTGCATAGTTGGGTCAAACTTTCTTTCATCGTTTTGCATTTGCTCGCTGAGTTGCGAGTGAACGTGCCGGCTGCGCCAGTGAGAGATGCGGTCAGGAACAGACTGAAGCCAAGCTTCTTTATCTCGCTTATGTAGCTCAAGTATGCCTACAAGTTACAAGCGTTACAAAGTGAAACGTATGCGCGGGGGGTCCAGGAGCTAGAGCTCGCTCTCAGCTTTCCAACGCGTCCAAGCTCGACCCTCTACGAGCAACCTCCTACGAGATAGGGAGTTTTCAAAATTTTCACCGTAGAACCCTATGATGAATCGCGATTTAAGCATATTTGGAGCGGTCTGACCGGGTCGATGTGGGGCTCATCGGGAAGCCCGTGAAATTCTGCGTACTTAAGACAACTTCGGCATTCATTCGCAATGAGAACATAATCAGCAATCAGTCGCAACTACCCACGACCGTCGATCGACGACCATCGCTGCCTGAGATGGGTGTTCCCCCCTGCGACAACGAAGTGGTACACGCCAACTCTCTAGGACTCTCCGCTATCGAAGATTTGTTGGCGATGGAGACGAACCGTCTGGTGGATTTGGTTGGCATCGTCTATGATTTCGAGGCTCCGGAAAGCTTCAATTGTGGCGATGGAATCATGCGAACGAAACGAACAGTACAATTGGTGGACAACACTAGGAAAATATTGTCGTCGAGAGCCTCATGGACTGTGAAGGAATGCCCGCTCTGATTCGTAACGTCTTGGTGAGGGAATGCAATAATCGCAGTACCCTCACGAGCAAGAGTGATACCGTCCCAAGCAAGAGTGGCGATTTGGAGGAAGTAATGATGCAAGAGTCGCCGCCCTTCATCGGTGACTAGACAGAAACGGTCCGTCGGCGCATTCAACCTTCGAATTAAAATTAAATACTCTCGGTTTTCATTTCGAAAACTTGTGCGCTGAGAAAGATGGATGACAAACCATGATCAGCCTCATAACAGAGGACCGAGATCGAGGAAACTCGCAGGTGATTCATAGTTGTGGAAAGGAAGAATCACAGATGCTTGCCTGATGAGCATTGCGCGCGATACATGGACGGACGTTTCACGTCCGGTCAGGGTGCTCACATGACACTGCCTCTCTGAAAGTTTTATTCTACTCGGATTCCTTCAACTCAGTAAAACTCATTAATCGACAGCAGAATAATCGCTCGAACCAGCGGAAGTTGCCTCATAGCC